AGAAACACCCTAGAATCACCCTTGCAACACCCTAGGAACCACCCATAAACACACCAGTATCACCCTAGCAACACCATTGTAACACCCTAGTATCACTCTACCAACCACCCAGAATCACTCTATCATCATCCTAAGCCTAGCAACCACCTAGAAACACCCTAGTATCACCCTAGCAACAACCCATAAAGATCCTAGTATCACCCTAGCAACCACCCAAACACACACCAGTATCCCCCTAGCAACACCATTGTAACACTCTAGTATCACCCTAGCAACCACCCAGAAACACCCCATTAACACCCTAGCAACCACCCAGAAACACCCCAATATCACCCTAGCAACACCCTTGTATAGAGTTAGTTACGGTTAGACACCCTAGTATCACCCAAACAACACCCTTGTAACACTCTAGTATCACCCTAGCCTAACAACCACATATAAATGCCCTAGTATCAACCCTAGCAACCCACCCAGAAAAACCCTAGTATCACCCTAGTAACCATTCAGAAACACCCTAGCCTAGCAACCACCTAGAAACACCCAAGTATCACCATAGCAACCACCCAGAAACACACCAGTATCACCCTAGCAACCACCTAGAAAATCCTGTATGATGTGTAAGTGCTGTATGTGTGTGTTTGTGTGATTCTGTAAGGATCCTGGACGGCCGTGATCTGATGCCTCTGTTGGAGGGCAGAACGAACCGCTCGCAGCACGAGTTCATGTTCCACTACTGCGGCATGTACCTGAACGCTGTACGCTGGCACCCTCCCGACAGTGAGTGACTCAAACAAGCAATTAAAATCTTTCACCACTACTCTATTTTCTTAAATAGATAGGTTAAACGGAAAGCTTCCCACTCTTCTTCCCACATCTAAAATGTGAGGAAAACAGATTGATGCCAAATATGACACAATCAAATTGCAAACGAGAATAAATTCAATTTCTCTTACAGACAGGAAGAAAAATAAAACCTGTCTTTTTAAGAAATTCCCGGAAGGACGAGCCCCCATTTGTTAGTAAAATAACAATTGGTCCCTCTGTAAATTCTCTTTGCCGCCTGGAAAATTCTCAATCCCTCAAAGTGTATAACGGCCGGGAAGCAAGAAAACACACATTCAGTGGTATTCTCAATACTTCAATTTATTCATAGAAACAAAGATATTATATAGACATATGACGAGGGGAGTTTCAACCCTTTAACCAATGAGGATATAGATGACATACATATAGGATCTTGGCCAAGAACATGTGTTTATATAAAATGGCCACATGTACAGAAAAACATGGACATATTAGGAATAGACTTTGGCGAAGGATGCTGAACTCTCTTCACAGTTCATCACGAACCCCTTTCACCTTGTAGTCCTAGCATTCATGTCCTTATTTGAGCATTTGAACCAAGAAAAGCTAATGCATACATGTGCGCATGCGTACCTCGAATATGAGTAAGAGACATTAAAACATCATACAAGAGAGAGAGAGAGCGAGAACAGATGGAGGAGGGGGATTCAGAGAGAATGCGTTGTATAGGGAGCGAGTGAGAGAGGGACAGGAAAAAAGAAAAGGAGGGGTGAAAACATCTGGAACAAATCTCAAGACAGAGAGTGCAAATTATTAAATTATTTATTTATTTATTCATATTACATTTCTTTGTACATGTATGTATTTACTGATTGGTAATTTTGGGCATTCCATAATTCCATATGTCATACAAAACACATGACGAGGATGAATCATGAAACTCCTCACGTTTAGAAAAGCTGACAGACAAATAAAACACTTTAAAATCATATTTGTGATATTTACATATTATTGAGCTCTGCATAACAGCAACACACACGGAGACAGATATTATAAGCTAAATTGTAATTTTAACCTCAGGTGACTCCGTCTTCAAGGTCCATTCCTTCACACCAAACTTCTCTCCAGCGGCGGTTGGCAGAGGTGCTGGAGCGGGTCGAACGGGCCGTGACGGAGCACCGCAGAACTCTGACGCCGGTGGAGAGACAGCTGACGTGGGCAAAGGTCCTGTGGAAGCCGTGGCTGCAGCCCTGCTGCGGGACCTTCCCTTTCTGCTCCTGCGAGGAGAGCCACCACACGTCTGCAGGAGCAGAGTGAAGAACCCGACGCCACAGGAGAAAAACATTCAAAAAGATAACTGCAACTTGTTCTCTCACTTGCAAGTTTATATCCCACCGTTCATCATTTTTTCTTGCAATTCTGACTTTTTTCCCTCAGAATTGCAAGTTATAAAACTGCAATTGTGAGTTTTTATATATTGCTATTTTGACTTCAGGGTTTACATCTCACATTTCTGACGTTTTTCTCATAATTCTGAGTTTAAACATCACAATTTTAAAATTTGTCCTCAGA